GTCTACGTCATCGTACGTCTACGAAAACACCATAAACATCGTTTTGACCTCGATCAGGTACTTTGTTATTTTTTTATCCCACAAAAGGGCAATTCTTGTACCTTATCTCTGCTAAATCCAAATTCTTCTACTACAATTCAGGTCTAGTTCCATTTCTTCTTATCCAATAGAATTATTTTTGTCAGATGGTCATGATGCTGATGGTTCGATGCCAATACATTATAGTGTTACTTGGATCTTGGCTATGACGATTGACTGACACATAATGTGTTCTGTTAACTTTCCGCACTGTAGATCGTATAGCTATCTCTGCCATGATTCTTATCCCAAAGGAATCTAGGCTTCCAGAATTTCTGCTGTGATTTCGTCCTCCGACTTTTGCTTTGCCTTTCTTTATAACATTTAGTGTGACTTTCTATTTCTTATCTTTATCGCAAAACTAATATATTCGTATCCACCTATTTTTAATTCCATTTAGTTCTATGGACTGTTATATCCTTCTTTTTATTGCTATCATTTCTGATGTATCTTCTTTGCTAATGGTTTCTCTACTTCTCCGTAATATCCTGGTTTGGGCTAACCTTATCTAGTTGTTCAATGTTCTGTGCACTTTCATTCATCCATTCTTTTTGCTTTCGCACATTCTTCTATGTATTTCATATTCCTTACACTTCTAATCTTCATCTTTTGTCAGCCAAGGCTTTGGTTCTATTCTATGGTAGTATAAGCTCTTCAGTTTCTTTTGAAGTGCTGTCCAGTACCATCGTGATATCGTTTCTACATTTTCGTCTTCCTCCTTTGATACCTAATATCTGTTCATAATCCCTATGCTTGAACTGTTTTTTTTATTGACTTCAGTTCTTCACCTCATTTAGTTTTTCTTCTTTCATTTCCTTTCTGGGCTCTTTCTTTTCTGGATTTAAGTTTATATTGTCACAACTGGGATTTTGATTGATATGTTAATCTGTCTCGAAAAGTTTCACCGGGTGGATTGCATTTCTAAATCTTCTATTAATTGATGCACAATCTAATTTGGTTCCTGAGTTCTATCCCCAGGGCCTTTTCAGTATATAGTCTCCGGGATCGGTGTTTATTAAAACAATATTTTCATTATGATAAGCCCGGATGTTCTGCACGCATGCTATCCATCTTGTGTTCACGTGTCATCTATGTTACCTGTCCATTAACTGCCCAACAGTGTCTTTCAAAACTTCTTTTGCTCCCTTTCCAAATATAGATGTATATAGTATATATTATATATATATATATTAATAGATATATTAGATAGAGAGAAGATAGATATATATAAGAGACACACATATATAGCGTTATATATATATGGATAGGTATATGTATAATGAGTATGTATGATGAATTTGTATACGATGTATATATATGGGGACGTATATATATATATACATAGTACACACACACACACACACACACACACACACACACACCACACATCACTACACACAACACAGCACACACACACACACACCACACACGAACACCACACATGACACACACTACAGAGAGGGAGAGAGAGAGAGAGGAGAGAGAGAGAGAGATAGTAGAGATAGAGAGAGAGGAGAGATAGAGACGCAGGAAGACACACATAGATGATGTAGAGATATATAGAGGCATAGATATAGATTAGTATGAATATATATATATATATAGAGAGATATGGGATATATTATACTAGATAGCTATGTAAACACACACAGCATCACACACACACACACACACACACACACACAGATATATATATAGGTAGATATATATATGAGATATATCATAGGTATATATATGACTATATATATATATATACATCAAATATATCACACATATATATGTAGATGTAATATTTTTTTTTGTCAACAGCCCTTCATTCCACTGCAGGGACATAGGCCCTTCTCAATTCAGTATTTAGGGTTATAGGCACGTGTAACCTTGGCTGATTGGAGGCCCCTTTTCTCCTAATCAAGCGCGGTTCGCGCGCGCTAACACTTGTGCCACGGCGGTGACTTCCCCTACGACACCTGCATTTGACTTTCAAGGCGATATGTCGTTTTCACTGGCTCAAGGTTAGCAGTCAGAGCGCAGGCATGTGTGTGTGTATTTATATGTATATCGTATTTATATCTATATCTATATAGATAGTATATGTATATCGTATTATAGAGAGGCAGACAGATATATAGAGGGGGCTAGTTTAGGCAGAGATTACAGTGTAAAAGAGATACAAGGGGGTAGAGATATATAGGGAGATATAGAGACATAAATATAGATAATAGTATAGAGATAGATATATATAGATATCATAGATATATATGTATATATATATCTATCATGTGTGTGTGTGTTGTGTGTTGTGTATAATACTATATATATACATATATATGTGTGTGTTGTGTGTGTGTGTCGTGTGTGTGTGCGTGTGTGTTTGTGTGTGTGTAGTAGATTTACATATATAATATATATTACATATATAATACATTATATATATGCCTATATATATGACAATATATACAATATCAGTTAGTGTGTATCCATGCAAATACACACACTCATGAACGTGTGTGTATGCATTCATGCACACACATATGTATCTATATGTCAAAACACAACACAGTAGTGGGTTCATTGACGCGGTCTCCCGCCTGGCTTCCCTCTTCCCCTTACATGGCGAACACGTCCACGGAGCGTTCCTGCGCGGAGTCTTCGCTGTGGCAACACCTCTCGGTCGACGGCCGCGACCTGGTCTTCTCGACGGCTGATCCCCGTCTATGCGAGTCGCTAACCATCAGATCACGGGCCCGAGGGTCTGCCGGACGCTCCGCTTACGGCAGCCAGTACCACGCACACCAGGGCCAGGGCGATTAGAGGGGAAGGATGGACAGAGGGCGAGGGAAACGATTATCAGTCTTTTTTAGTGTTCTTTTCGTTTCCTCTTTGAGGCCTTTCGTTTTCCCTACTATCTTGGCCCTTGCGTATTTGATCTGGTTCTACTAAAACATAAGCAGTATATAATATATATATATATATATATATCTATATATATATATATATATTATATATATATATTATATATATATATTATATGTATATAGTGGTGATGTGGATATATGTAGATACATATATATATAAATATATAGTATCTACAATATTATACACATCCATGTATATATATATGTATATATTATATATATATATATTATATACACATATGTATACACACACACCTTTATATATATATATAGAGTATATTATATATATATATATATATATATATATAACAATAATATATATATGTATATAATATACATATATATATACCACATATTTATATACAATACACACCATTTTTATATGTATATATATATATAATAAAGAGTGATTGTTCGTAAAAAAAAAAAGGAATAAAATCACGAACGCGCATAAATTCGTTGCAACTGAAACATAGAATCTCTAATAACGAGGAAAAAAATAAAAAAACAATAAGATGAACGATATTCATAATGTTTGACTTCATACGCTATCACACAGTTAATTGATATGTGAGGTCAGAATAATGAGAGCGTGCCATTTGCTGTCAATTAGCACTTTAACCCAAGAAAAACCCAACGTGAGCATGCCTGTACCTAACGCTTAAACACATTTGGGAGAAAGATGAAAGAAAGGAAAGAAAGGGGCCCAAAATGTGTACCACCGCCTGCCACCAGAGGTAAAGTATGTTTTGACCTCTTATTACATTGGTAACAAGGCTCGTAAAAGCTTGGTGGCTTGAGTTTGTACTTTTCTGTAAAGTCAGCACACAGTTAATGAATAAACACAAACAACAATCCTTGGGTATCGCCGGTGGTCATCCTGGCGGGGCATAACTTGACCTGAGCCGGACAGGCGCCGCGACCTTGACCAGCCAGCGGGCGGCACACTCTGACCTGACATGGTTCATCCTTGAGTATAAATAAATGGCCGGCGGCCACCGGAAAGCAGGGGGGGGTGACGACCCGCTGCACCGTGTCGACCGCATCTGTTCGAGAGCTTGTTTCCACCCGGTATAAGTGTGGTTGCGATGTGTATGGTGTTTGTGTTTGTGTTTTGTGTGTATGTGTGTGTGTGTGTGTGTGTGTGTGTGTGTGTGTGTGTGTTCATTCTATAGAGAGATAGATATAGATGGATACATATGGAATATAGTATATATGCTTTCTGTTTTTTTGTACACTCACACATATAATATAGTACTACAGTTCCTTCGTTTTTTCCTTGCGAATAATCGTCCTTTTCTCAGCCTTAGTGTATTTCCTTTTTAGTTTTTTTTTCTTCTTGGCCGATTTTCCGTTATTAATTTCAGGTGAACTATTTCCGACTTCCTACCGCAAGCTGTCGTTCAAGGCCCTGGCGTCCCGAGCTGGATAACTCAGCACTGCCGGACGTTCCTTGGACGCTGCACGCCATACGATGAACGTTTTCATCTACGTCCTTCCTAATGCTCGAGTACCTCCATGAGAGAAGCCCGGGAGTGCTTTTTTCTGCGACATCCTGCTGGAGTCAGGTGATGCCAAACAGGGAAGTGGGCCGTCTCTCCGAGAGGAGTTTCCCGTGACGAGTACCCTCGCTTTTGCAGCGGCCCTGTCTGGGTCTTGCCCATCGCCGCTGCTGCCTCGCCTGATGGAAGCTTCCAAGTCTGTCCTTTCTTGTGGGTGGACGATGTGTACGGTCACTGGCGTACTGCCCAGTATGCCGGCATTAAACACCTCGGCATTGGTTCTGATCCCGGCACATCGGCCCTCCCGATGTGGGACTCGTGGATGGCGCTGGACAAAACCTTAGAGTACTACAGAAGAAAATGGTGGTCAATACTTATTCGAATCTATTAAGATGGCCTTCCTGCGATCCAAAGCCAGTATCGTAATTGTTTTACCCAATGATCATTAGCTTCTAGCTACAATACTCTTCTAAATCTTTTTTATATGAGGGAAGGGTTTCTGGTGATGGCTTCAACCATCAGGGCTCTTGCATCCTCAAGAGGAATTCTATCCACTGGCTTCTTTAATGCCCTCTGGTATGGGATGCAGGACGCCTGCATAACGCCTGTTCATATTTTAAGGAACCGTCCTTATCTGGTGTATTATCATTTCTGTAAGTCCTTCCTACTTATTAACAAGGAGAATAACCGAACAGCATTTCAGATTATATGAGCTTCGCTGTGGCAAAATGTACAACCTTTTATCGATGTGGCAGGGGACCTGACCAATCTCCAGCTGAAGACCATGAGTGATAAAATGTTCTCACCAATGGTTTCAACCCTATGCACACCATCTGGTTAAGAGCAAAGGAAATCGGTATTCGATGTAGTGTACATTCCTCGAAGACGATATTACAATGTAATTCTTCATATGAACAATGACGAATATCTGGTAATTGGCCTACAGTATCTATCCCCCAGGCTTCGCGAACCCTTGCTAAACTAGCCGATATGGCATCTGTTTAATTTCTACTTTTTCTATGGCTAGATCCTGATTTTTCTTTTCCTCTTTTCGGAAACTGAAAATTTACTTTACGTGAACGTTCAAATTTTTTATTTCGGCCATTTAGTATGGTCATGATGTAAAGTGTCTAGCTAATTTATCTATAAATCATCTTGTTAATTATTTTCATAATTATATACGCAAGATTTCTAGTATATACACAATTCAAGGTATTTTTCTGTAATGTGTTATTCTATCGGGTACTTATAATTTTCCAATCTGGACATTCTAAAAGATATACAGTTTCAAAATACAGACTGTTTAATTCAATATTAGTTTCTCTCCGTATCCCTCAGAAAAGATATGAACTTTTTTTTTAATTATTTTTTGTACGTTTAGCTCACCTAAGTTTAAAAGCCGGCAAGTAAAGAAGATGTCGAGAGA